TTTGAGGGCACGAATTCTGATAATTCAACAACAAGACGTCACTGTTCTGAAGCCTTAACGCCACTGCGCTAGCAAAATGGCACACTTCATTTTTGCTACTTTTGAGATAACTAAAAAAAAACTTACACCAGAGCACCCACCAACCACCCACTCCATCTGATTAGTAGAAAAGTGCGTATGATAGTGTCCAATAGTGTATTACGTGCTTTTAACTGGACTATGTATCGTCCAGTAATGGTAAAACGTGCTATGCATGTTTCTTTTGTGACTGTCGGCGGATTTTTGTTTTCGATAGACCAAATAAGATATAGTTCCAGTTGCATTTTGGCCCAATTCTGAATTATGCCATTTTATTTTACCAGTTGTCGTCTACCCAGATATTTAAATTTTATTTTCTTTGTCTGAAACTAACAAAGGCTAACAGCAACATAGTAAATAATGTACATACTATGAATTACGCAAATTTGTGCTTTATATTTGTGTACAATAGTACCAAATGTGCCGCAACATTGCCCTTTGTCTGCTGCTGGTTGGATACGACTTTGAAGAGGCGACTTGTATATAAACTAGCTGAGCTCTCTTTCGATGAAAAGAATCATCGTTGCATTAACATCAACTGAAAGTCATTGGCCTACTATATTTACAGTCTACTGGAATGGAGCAATACATCTTGAGAAGTGCAAAAAATTAGAAGGTCTAGATCTATACTCTCAAAACAAAATGCACCTCGTGAAATAGCACTTCCGCACTTCCGCGGTGAAGGACAGCTAGGCAGAATGCAGATTTGTTTCGTTTCTCAGTGGAATAATCACAAAGGCCAAAGAAGGACGGGAACTTTTAGTCAAATATATTTTTCTGAATTCAAAAAGTGAATAAATAAAAAATCGGGCTCCGTCATGGCCTATCAATCTTTTTGCAGGTGCTTGCCAACTTTCAACCCTGTAGCTGTCGTAGTTTTATGGGGCAAGTGTGTTCCAAAGTTGCCAAATATATATTATATATTTTGGTCACACTGCGTAAGGAGAGGGAAAAAGAGCTGCCCCCCCCCCCCCCAAGACCCTAACAGCCTCGGGGGAAAAAAAGGGGGGGGGGGGTGTAAACGTATAGGAACTAAACTGCTAACAAACGGCAGCATCATTGCTTTCATAAATTCTCACCATTATTTAATCTACTTCAATATAACGGGGAACGGGGAGGCCTCGGACATGGGGAGACTTCGGACACGTCAATTCTCGCAAAACTTTTGATAATATACACATTTTGTCACTGGATCACATAAAGTGTCATGTCAGGTTTAGCTTGATGTGTTTTTGCGCCTCATTGAGAAAAACATTGCATCTGCTGTGAAGGAAATTGTGTTTTTGACAAGGTTGTATCTTAGTCTTCATACCTTGGTTTGTTAGGTTTGCAAGCCACAACAGTGCATCAATCCTGTCACAAAACTATATATTATGTGCTTCAGGGTGTCTATTACATTACAATTTCATATCATTAATCCTAGCTTTCATGATGTTTCCTACACAACCCCATGTAGGGAGACTTCGTACAGAGGGTGGGGTAACTGATTTGATTTGGTTATGGCATAATGCATCCCTGAACAGTATTTGAGATTGTGGAAATCCGATTTTTACATCCCTCTCCGTAGGACGTAATCATCATCATCATCATCATCAATGCCTTTCACCCTTGGCAGGGTATAGGCCACATACACGCTCCTTCCATTTATCTCTTTCCTGAGCCATCCTTCCAAGCTCGTTCCAAGTGAGCTTCATTTCTCTCATGTCCCTTTCCACGCATCTCCTCCATGTTTCCCGTGGCCTACCCCTGCATCGTGCTCCTTGTGGGTTCCACTGCAGTGACTGTCTTGTTATGTTTCCGCTGGGCTTTCTTAAGGTGTGTCCCATCCATCGCCACCTTCTTAGTCCTATTTCTACTTCTATATCCTTTTGTCCTGTCCTTTCCCACAGTTCTTCATTTCTTATTCTATCCTGCCACTTAATTTATAGAATACTCCTCATACATCTGTTGATGAAAGTCTGGACTTTATTCAGTACTGTTTTCGTTGTCTTCCAAGTTTGGCAGCAGTAGAGGAGCACAGACTTGACGTTGGAGTTAAAGAGTCGAGTCTTGGTGGGCAGCGAGACGTTGCTTGCTTTCCAGACTTTTGATAATTGCTTGAAGGCTGACCTTGCCTTGGCGGTTCTTGCTTTAACGTCTGCCTCGGTTCCACCTTTACCATCGATGACACTTCCAAGGTAGGTAAAGGTGTCCACTTCTTCCAGGGGAGTGTCTTCCAATGTCACAGCAGGGCTTGAACCTTTTCCTAGCTTCACTACTTTTGACTTGCCTGGATGTATACGTAGGCCAACACTCCTTGATAGCCTGTTGAGTTCCTTGGTCTTTCCTTGCATCTGAGCATGTGTGTGAGAGAGCAGCGCAAGGTCATCGGCGAAGTCTAAGTTGTCCAGCTGCTGCCAAGGGATCCATTGTATTCCATTAC